GAGTGAAACCTCTAAGGCATCAGAAAACATCAAGGCTGGGCTAGACACATATGATTTTTACCAGCTGTGGATGTATCTAGGATTCCCCATGGAGACTGGGGTCTCATTATGCTACTAGGCAAACTTACACGAAGAGAAAATTCCCACCTGCAGAGGACTTACTACCTAAAGACATAAAAGCAGCTAACGAGGCCAGAGGCATGAATATGGTAATCTTTCCCAAATGTTTTTCTCTCACATCTTTTCTCTTCCAATGTTTTTAAGCTCTGCATGTCATCCTCTTTCCCACTCTGAATGACAAGGAGCATGAGCATGTGTCTTTTGGCAGAGCAGATGGCACCTGCGGCTCTCCACGTGGTGGAGGCTGTTATGTGCCTCTAGCTGCTGCTGACAATTCCTCCTCCAAGGTACTTCGTCATGGAGCTGCTATTCATGCCACAGATCCCTGCTGACTGGCACTGGCATAGCCAGGCACAATACTGGGTAGCCAGGAAGACACATGGCAGGTGGTAAAGCCCACACAGAAAATCCAGCAAGCAGAGGCATCTAGAGAGGCTGGAGGATGCTTAGAAGCAACACCTGCTGAAACCGCAAAGTCTTCACGCTGCACATGAAAGAAAACTGCTGGACTAGCCATGGGCTCTGGGGTTTTTTTTCCCAATGTCCCTAGACTGAACTGGCAATCCCACACCACCAGTACACCCTCACTGTTGTGCACTCAGGGCTACAGAGCCCAGGCTGCCCTTTTACTGAGGCCTGGCTCTGCCTCTGCTGTTCAGGAAAGGGCTATTTTTGCACAGCTGTGGAAGGCCAATGACCCCACAAGGCACAAACTGCCTCTGGAAAGAGCTCTACTCAGCCAGCACTGGCACAAACTTCACCCTTTGTCCTTGTCTTGAAAACATCTCCACGGTTACATTTTCAGCCCTCCTAGTGACAAATATCAAAATTTCAACTGTTCTTTTCACTTACACAGAAATCTCCCCATTCCAAGAACCTCAAGAGTGCTGTCCTGGACACCAGTGCAAGTAAATATAGAGAAAAAAATCTAACTGAGATTGAGCACAGCTAAACATCAGAGATAGAAAGAACCTCTGAACCTGCACACTAAAATACTCACAGAACAGCAATGAAGTCCTGCTCAGACAGACCAGGACCCATGGTTCCATCTCCAGCATTGAGTGTGCTTCTTGTTCATTGTCCCAACCCAAAAAGCAACACCAACTCAGTCGAGTTTTCCATGTTGGTCTCTGAACCCACTGCTCCTGGCAATCCTGTATTAGTCCACTCTCTTCACATTCACATCGTTTGTAGGCCTGAACTGCTTCCCCAGAGCCACTCAGGGGAATCAGCAATAGCAGATACAAAGTTTTACTTCCTTTGAATTCTCCTTGCTAATTAATCTCAACCAAGCTTTAAGAGGCCATGAAAACATACCAATTTCAAACACTGCTTGAAACCTAAGGAAAAAGAGTCTCCTGGCATTGAAAATGTTTATAGCTATGAATCCAATTAGTTCAGCTTCGAGGCTTTGATGAGAAATGCATTATCTGCACTTCTCTCTCTGTCTCCAAGAAGTTTGGCCATACATATGACACACAGATGAGATGAGAGGAACCTTTGTATGTTACTTGGAGCTAAATCCTGTATCTCAGCCTTGGAAACCAAATGTCAGGTATCCATGAAGATGGATGGTGGCCTCAGGCACTCCAGCTGACTGAGGAAGAGTCACATGGCTTGGGTTTTCACGTGGGGCTGAAGAGTCAGGAGCTGGATATAAAGCAGTCCACTGTGGGCTGTCTCCTGTCCCACAGCACTGTGTGCACAGAAGAGATACGGGCAAGACCACATCTCCAATAAATCTTCAAGCTGTCCAGAGCCAGTTTGTCACTGAGACCTACTACAACCCCTATTTCCACTCACCAAGAAAGGGTACAGGAAGGGCTTTGCTACAGCTACTCAGTTACTACTGTTTATACCTCAATGCTTCAGGAAATATAACCTGTTAGATTGCTCACCTCTAATAAAGTTTGAGCACTTCTGGCAAGCATCAGTGCTAAAAGGAAAGCAGTGATACAACTAACATTGCTGCTCTTCCAGCTCTGAGATCATTAAGAACCCTCCTTCTCAAGCTTGTTGCCTTTATGAGGATCCCCTCATAAGCTCTTTCTTCGTCTGGTCTTTCCTTCTTTGGCTTCTTCTGCACGACAGGCTCCACACTTCTCTGAGAGCACTGGCAGCCTTTATTTGCACTTTCTTTATTCAAAATCATGCCTGAGTATAGAGGTCAGAGCCACACACGGGACTCCAGGTCTGAATCATGCTCATTTTGTGCAAAAGTCCTCCCTTCACAGAAAATCCATGACTCAATGTATCCTTCTTTTTTCATGGCCATGTCACCCCACAGGCAATTCACACAGCCCAATTTTACTCCTCCTGTTCTTGTCCCTGCTATCCCAGCCCTCAGAGATATCCATCTCACTCTGCTGCCCTGTGCCGACAAAGGGTTCCAGAATAATGCCACCAGGGTAGGACACTAACATAATCATGCACCAAACACTGCATTTCACTTTTCCAAGACAATCCAGCTTTGATCCCCCTTTCAAGTACCAGCATTTATCAGTATCCAAGTAAATTCTGAACTGAATCCCTGACATAAACACAGTTCTCTCACTTTCCTTGTCAGAAAATCAAATTGTCGAAGTACAACGTGCATTTCCCACTTATCTCCCATCCTTAAAAACATATGTTTAGCTCTTGGCATAGCAGGATACTAGGCTAGTCTGTAACTGCCTGGGTCACCTAATTTCCTGCACTTAAGTCCAGGCACTGTGATTCTCTTTCTCCGATACTCAGATCCTCACAAATTCAGAATGTTTATGAGAACTTGCCTGCGCAGGGGCCTGTCACCACTTCTCTGAGTTTTGAGAAAGTGACTGTCTGCTTAATTTCCCCCAAAACACACTTGAGAGCATTCAGATCTTTCAGGGTGGTTTTCCACCTTCTGGAGTGTCGTCGTTATCCACTGTGTCTTGCTGATCCTCATTAACTCCCACTCCTTTCCCAGATTGTCACCATTTCTTTTTTTGATTCTGTCAGGCAACTGTACATGAAGCTTGCCCCTCCCAATCCCAGCATAAAGTGAGCTGAGATATCTGCCTTTGCCTGAAGACAACCTACAGGATCAGGTCAGAGGTATGCACCCAGCACCTCAGTTAACCTTGTAAGATAAAAACTGGGAGAGCAAGAGAACAAACTCAAACATCAACTGAGTTAAATTATTGAGCGTGATAACCTTAGGAAGAAAAATGCCCACCTAAGTTGCTTAGGCCTTAAATTTAAATACTCTCCCATGACTAAGACAGTCAGCTCAGCTACCAGCACCACCAGCTACTTCCAAGACCATTAAAGGTTTTCATCACAAAATCCTACACACCAAAAGAAACATGAAAGGTAAAGAACTTCTCCAAATAATAGTTTGAAAAACCTCCATGATGAAGCATACAAGGCAGTTATCACAAACTAGCAGAGCTGTTTTCAGACTTAATTTAGTGACATTTACCCTCCTAAACTGCATTTCAAGCTGCTTTTAAAAAGTATGTCAAGTGGCTACAGGATGTTCACCTTGCTCTATCAAGTGACTAATAAGCATGATGCTTTCCCTGAATGTTTGCCTGTAGAGAGATGGTAAAAGACACAAGTGTACTGATTTCTTGATGGCCACTGGACAGCAGTAACCCCTGGTCACTGCTACTCAAGTCCAGCAAGAAGGACCAAAGTCATACCTGAACCATGTCACATACAAGTCTCATTTTCTTTCAATGTAGAACAAAACCCTGACTTCCTTTGATGCCCTTCCTTTGATTCCCAGCAAGGGCAGAACAAATGGACAAATGAACAAAAGACAACATAAAAGACACTTACACAATCGGTTGGGGTTAATATGTTGCTTCAGGAGATCAATGGAGCCAAGGCTGACAACAAGACGCCTTCCAAACCAGAAGGAGACCAGTGGCCCATATTTCTCATGAAGGTTCACAAGAAACTCATGTAAACTGCTGCTGACAATGATATCTGGCAGGTTGCCATCCCTGAGAAACACAGAGAATATATGTTTATGAATAGCATCCTCTGCCAATGCTGAACTTCATCAATGTGGAGGCAGAAACCACTTACTTTTCATCAGTTGGAGCCAGCCCAGGGATACCTGATGCTTGCCTAGATGCCTAGAGTAAAAGGAAATGCATCAATCTACATGAACTTCAGATTTTATACAGGTCCCACAGCTTTCCAGCAGGAGAAATGAATTTTCCACACCAATACTACTACATTACTTACAAACATGGAGCAGAAGCTGGATATGCTACATCTGCAGGCTTTAAACCTGCTAAGCCGATAAACCTCAAGTGTGTGCCTGGTGCCACTGGCTAAACCAGGATTATTCATCTGGTTAGATGAAAGATGTCTGCGTAAAGGTTTAAAGGGTCAAGTTTGCAGTGTAGCATCTTACACAGAGATTCGCCCCGGAGGCCTACAAAAATGCAAGGCGAGCAGACCGCGCCTGTGGAAAGCGGGATTCGCTCCCGGAGCACGTACAGCGGGAGGAGCGCCGGGGGCGCGCTGTCCCGGGAACGCCCCGCCCGGCAGCTTCTGCCGCAGGCCTCTGCCACGTCCCGCCGGGCCCCGGGCTGCGGGCCGGGGGCACCGCCCGAGCCCAGGGGCCGTGGGACGGGGCCGTGGGACGGGCCCGGGGCTGTCTGGGCCCCGCGGTCGCTGGCTCTCCGCCAGCCTGCACCGGGGGCCGGGCCGAGCGCCCCCCGCCCCATCGCCGGCAGCATTACCGGGTACAGGTAGAGCACGGCGCCCACGAGGATGAGCAGGAAAGTGACGGCGAAGATGGCGAAGTCCAGCATGGCCAGGCCGCGGCGGTGCAGCGAAGGCGCCTCGGCCCCACCCCGGGGCCGCCGGCGGGGCAGGAAGGGGCGGACCGGGCTGGGCTGGGAGCGCGGCTCGGCTCGGCTCCGCTCGGCATGGGGAGCCCGCGGCGCTTGCTGCTCATCTCCAACTCCACCCTGCACGGAGGGGGGTACCTGGGCCACTGCCAGCAGCACATCCAGAGCTTCCTCGGGCAGTAAGCGCCGTGCAGGGCTGAGGGAGGGGCGCCCGGCCCCCGCCTCCGCCGCGCCGACCGCTCTCTTCTCCTCTCTTCTCCCAGGAAGGTGAAGCGGGTGCTGTTCATCCCCTACGCCCTGCACGACCGCGACGCCTACGCCCGCACGGCCAGGGAGAAGTTTGAAAGCCTGGGTAAGGCCGGCCCGGCTGCCGCTGGCACGGGGAGCAGGGAGCGCTGCAGCCGCGGGACACACGGGCTGGGCTGGGCAAGGGCAGGGAGCAGCAGGAGGCGGCTGCGGACTTATGCCTGGAAGGAGATGTTTTAGAGGCCTCCAGAAGAAATCCTGCTGCAAACACTTCTACCTACTCCAGGGAGGAAGAATTTATCCCTAACTATTAAGTGGCATCTTTTTATCCTTCTTAATCATATAAGGGAACATTTATTCCCTTGTATCCTAAACCTCTGCTCAAGCCGTGCAACCACTGGTGTTAAGTGAAGAACATTACTTAATGCACATCAAGGAGCCAGATAGTTCCATGATAGACAGCAACTGAACTTTGCTTGGAGCAAAAATCTCTGCTGAGCAAGAAAAACAGCAAAACCTCCACTTAGTATCTATCACTGCTGAGGGTAACTTTGGACCTGTTAGTGTAGTAATAATCAGTACTCACTTCCCTGGGCAGCATACTTTGCTCCTTGTCTTGCAGGAGGATTGCTCCTATCAAATGCCTACATTCTTCTCTCTCTCATGACACTTCCTGTACTCAGTGAATCCCAACAAGGCAAATCTATCAAAGGCAGACCTTTTAACAGAAACAATACTTGTATCAGATACTTGCACAAGCAATGCTAAAACTAACACATCCCATCAGAATTCGGCACAGCCAAGTTGAGGAGTAACAGCTTTTTCCTTATTTTCTGGTTACCTGTAATGCTCAGCAGGATATTGTGCCTCGGCCTGCACCTGCTGAATGAAACGCTCTGCTACTAGAGACTGAGTGCATATATCCACAAAACAAACATTTCCTTTTGTACAGCTGGATGCTGAAGCCCTGCACTAATGTAGGATGTACACTCTGTTTTATGTTGTAGAGTTCTCTGAAATTTCCCTGGTTGAGATATTTGGCTCAGGGTTGGAGGAGGTAGGCAGGGAGGGATTGAACATATCACATTCTTCCAACAAACTGACACGGCAAAGGTAAATACTTTTTCATTTAAGGTTATGGGCTGGACAGCATTCATGAATCCTGTGATCCAGTGGAAGCTGTAAGGAAATCTGAAGCAATATTTGTTGGTAAGTTTTACTTCTTACTCCCCAGTGAAGGTTTATATGGGACACAGAATTAGTCCTGCTCAGAGGTGGCACTAAAGACCAACTATTAAGCAGACAGGCCTAGAAATTAGAAACTACAGAAGACAGTACTTGGGAGCCCTAAGACCCTAAATTTGGTGGTGGACTGGGAAGTAGATTTCTTAATGGAACTTCATCTCTAGTAAATTTCAAATTATTATGTTGAACAGTACCTCAGTGTAAAAACATGATCATAACAGTTGTATCATCACTTTAACAAGCCCAAGAAGTTCTAGTCATAATACCATGGTCCTGGGTAGTGGAAGAGAGGTCATTGTCAGACAGTGGCAGCCTTACAAGGATGACTCAGGGCATGCCCGTGGCCTGCCCAATGACCATTCTTCTGAAGCTTCTGGTTTTACTGCTTCTCAAAGCAGGATACTGTCCTGGATAGAGAATAGAACTCATTGCACCTGCCAAGTTTGTAAAGACTTCAATTAAAACTGATGGTGAAAGCATGTTAAATAAGCTGAATTTTCTTTCTGCAGGAGGTGGGAACACATTCCGTCTCCTGAAAGCTCTTTATGACAACAGTCTGATACATGAGATCAGGAAGAGAGTTCTTGAGGTAAAACTACAGATTCTGGCCAAGCCTGAATGGCAGGATCTCATACATGAGCTTTTGTTCAGACAAATCCAAGCTGATTCTGCATTTTTGTCTCTAATATTCTTCACATATCAAGCCATCTCAAACAACCTGGTGAACTGAAAATCATGGCCAAATAAGGTCACCATTGAGCCACTGAAAAGACTTAAGGTCAGCAGTCTTCCTAGAGCAGTTTTCTAGATGCTGGATTGCAAGGCTTTGGGATTTACAATGATACACAGAACCCTAGAAGTAAATCCCTCAAAATACCAGTCAAAAGACTAGTGCAGGATTTAATCTGTCAGGAAAAACCAGGAGATGTCCACTCCATATCTTGTTGATATAGATGTGTTCATGTTGCAGGTTGTGTACTAATAAAATGGTGATAAAGTTGGATCCATACATGCCTTTTAGACAGTGTCCTGTTGATGCTGCAAATTATGTAATTTTTGTATCTCCTTGGAACTGAGAGGTGTGAGTGCCACTGAGCCCCTCTGGTCAGCAGCACCAGTCTAGCTGGTGAATCTCACAAGGCACAGCATTTCTAGAGGAGAACAGAAGCAAGGTGTTCCCTAGCAATGTGGAATTGCAAATGACTTTATGCAGATTTATACAAGCCACAGTAAGGCCAGCTACCAAGAATCAAGGTTAGCTAGGCTTAATATATAGAATATATAGTTGTGGGAATGAAAGCCAGAAAATGTCCAAATACCAGTTAAGTCTGGATGACTACTTGGTCATATTGCCACCAGTTGTCTCAAGACAGCTCTATTTTTACAAATTGTTCAGGTATTACCTGTATACTTGCATATTATATGGCATTCTTCTGTGTACAGCACAGTACTCAGTACTAATACCTAAACAGTGCTAAACTGGTCACGGTACTGGTAAGTTGATGCTGTGACAACATTGCACTGAGCTTCCAATCGTCTGGTCTCTTCAGAAGCTAGTTAAAAAGCCAGTTCAGATATTTCCTGTAACTGCAATAGAGGCAAGTCTCTCTTAATAGCGAAGTCCAACATGCACCAACAGCCTCAAGTTCTCTCTTGAGGGGTTACAGAGTTGTGAGTACAAGGCAGGCAGCAGTTAGTTCTCTGACACTTAGAAGCTACTGCCCACCTCAGAACCTGAATTCTTGTTCTGCTTTTCACCTGTAAAATTAGCAGTAAGACGAAGCTAGGACTAAGTCTGATCTGACTGATGAGTCTCTGAGATTGATAGAGGATGCTATGAAACTGAGTTCCTAGTTGTGATACTGCAGATTGATCATTGCTTTTGTCTTTCAGGATGGGATTCCTTACATGGGATCCAGCGCAGGAACCAACGTTGCTACCGTCAGCATCAATACCACCAATGACATGCCAATTGTTTATCCACCTTCCCTGCAGGCTCTAGGATTAGTTCCTTTTAATATTAACCCCCATTACCTGGACCCAGACATTAAAAGAACTCACATGGGGGTAAGTAAAGCACACCAGAACTAACACAGTAACCAGGGTGTGGAGAAGTGAAAATAGTGTGCATTTTTGAGGCCTTATAAAGCTATAGAATGTCAAACAGCTGCTCCCTAGAGAACCTGGAAATGCCAATGAGGCGGTAACACTTCACTTCCTCCTAAAACTTAACTTTGCTTGGGAAGAGACATTGGCAACAGAATTACTGAACAAAGTGTTTTTCACAAACAGAAGTTCTGCAATGTCTGAAATACCGTTGAAACGCTTGGTATCTGGCATGGAATGGGGGAATTTAAAAGAAAAAAAAAAAGATAAACCTGAAGTGTTAAGATGCAAAGCACTGTGGTTCTGGAAATTTCTGTCTTACCTGTTGCTTGAGAAGACCTAACTAAAACATAGATTAAGAGGCTGAAATATCTGGTGGTCTGAAGAAACGATCAGAACAGGGAGATCTTGAGATTCATACAGTTCTTTTGTAAGAAAATACCTGGGCACTGGTGTCCTTGCAGGGAGCACAGCCTATAATGTCCAGTACAGAGCAAGTACATGTACTAATATAGCTGAAAGAAAAACACTTCAGCCATCAAGCAAAAAGACAGATTTCCATACAGTGGGGAGGAGCTCCTTGAATAGCATTGTCAGCTAACTCCTCAGAGAACAATCTGTGTGGTGCATCTTGTAACAACCTCAGTTCTTTCCTCCTTGTAATCAAAATTCCATGGTTAAAGGAAGTATTAAGAATTAGGGAACAATGAATAGATGGTGGATATGGATGTGCTTCTAGAATTTAGATGAAGTTGTAGGTATTAATTTAATCAGCTTGTCACTAGATATGCAGACAGGCTTTTCCCTATAAATAACTTCTGCTCTTTCTCTCAGAACAGGCTGGAAGCTCTGTGCTGTACCAAGTCCCTGCTGTGTTCCTATGTTTTTATTTCTTTACTGTTGCTCAGTTCAGCAGCAAACCTCAGGAAACAGGACAGAGCTGTTCACAGAAGGAAACTCTTCAGTGTAATACCTACTTGAAGACAAACAAGCAAATACTTAATCACTGAAAATCCATGATTCAATGCTCACTTCCACTAAGGTGGCACCTCAGGCATTTGCTTCTACCACCATCCTCATAGTATTAGTACTGTCTCTGCACACAGACATAGTACTAATTAAAAAAAACACAAAAACATGGATGAATTGAGTAGGAGTAAGTTTTAAAGCTTTTCAGGGTTAGGATTGTGTGAGTTCTGTTTGATCAACCTGCAGTGAAGTGCTGAAGGGTAAAACATCTATTAAGAGTCAATCCTGCTATCTGATTCTGCTTGAGGGGAAGTGCCTGCTTTGTTTAATGTTATGAAATTGTGTCATGCTGCTTGGACAGCTCCAAGTCCTACCTTGTGGTGCAGGAAGCTAAATCTATACTCATTATTGCAGGAGACGAGAGAGGAAAGAATCCACCAGTATCATGAAGAACCAAACACCCCTCCAGTTCTGGTGAGCAGTAGTTCTCCAGCAGGAAGCTGTAGCATGAGAAACATTTTAAGTGCATTCATACTAGCTCTCAGTGTGGGTTCCCTGCCTGTCAGTACTTAGTAAACCACAGCTTAGAATGCTAATTGTATTCTTGCTAAGAGCTTCAGCCTTGGATATTGCTCATGGTAGAAAATGGGCTAGGGTCAATGAAATGCATATTCCTGTTAGTGTTGCTCAACACTATTTTAGGCAGCTCTGATCTTCCCAGTCATATCTTCCCATATATTTGTGTGTTGGGGGAGGTGTGCATGCAGATGGTACAAAACTCCCCTTAATCTTTTTGCAGATACTCTTAACTTTAATCTCTGTAATATAGTTTCTGAATTTGCACATTCAGCAGCATATATGTAATTTCATTATGTCTGTCTGGGGAAGTGGAACCCCTATGTTTCCTGTCCCTGTGTTTGATCCTGTAGTAAAAAGTTTGTGCACTAACAAACCCACCTCAGCCCAAACTGGATCTAAGAATAACTGTGGTAAAAAAGTTTCCTCTCCTCCTTAGTGGTAGTCTTTCCTTTAAGAGTGAAAACTGAAATAAAGAAATCAACTTCTAAAACAAGGTAACAGAGGCAAAGACAAAATTAGCTGAGTTAAGTAAGTGAGAAGGTTTAATCTCTAGTCATGGTGGCACTAAGATTAGGCTGCTTGTGACAAGCATTCTAGCCTTTCATACAGTGTGAAAATGATTTTAAATGTTTCCACCTTCACACCAGGGCTTGCGGGAAGGTACAATGCTGTTAGTGGAAGGAGATAAAGCCACGCTGCAAGGAGTGACAGGAGCACGTCTGTTTTTGAGGTAAATGTTTCACTTGAATTGATAACTTTCAGACAGGAAGAGAGGCTTCAGTTAGACTCCTGGCACATGCTGTCCATCCCTCACATCAGAAGTTACTTAATCCCTTGGTTCCATTTCTCTCTGGGCAAAATGTGAGTATTGTTTAATGCTCCAAAGGAGCCAGGAGTATGACAGCGCTCTAAAGGATATCTGACTTACCCAGTGTGTACTTTGGCATTGCATCCATTGATGCTTATGTTTCCAAATTCTAGCTAGCCACTTTGGCCCTAATGCACTGAACTCCAGAACAAGGGAATCCATATCTAGAATTATATGGACTTTATTAAGAAATTTGAAATGCATCTCACTTGATGTAGGCAAAGAAGGGAGTCAGAACTCTGCTTGTTCAGAATAAGGGTGCCTTGCTCCATCCCTAGTAACATATAGAAGCAGAGTAGTCCCACCTCCCATTAAAGCTCACAGCATGGTTTGTCTTGTTTGCAGGGGTAAGAAGCCAACTGAACATGAGCCCGGAACAGATTTCAGTTTCCTCCTGACTGACAGCAATCCCCTGAATCCATAGCATTCCATATTCTGCAGCAGAAGTTACTATATGGGGAACACAATGAGGAAGAAGGAAAGAGATGCTTGTAGTCCCATGGTGGGTGGGGAACTTCAGCTTTATAAATAAAGATAAAAATGCATTAGTGACTCTTTTCCTCACCTCAATGCATGTCTCTGACATCTCCTTCCCAGCAAAAAGACCGTTTTTTTTTTTGCAATACTTGCATAATCATAGCTATTCAAAGCTTGAAGGGGCCTGTACATTCAAGTATCCACTTTGATTCCTTCCCCACCAAAAAACAGCTGTTCCCACTGCCTATTTTTACCTGATAAATAAAAGAATTGTTCATTCAGTTTACTCCCACACTCTGCTTAATTTTTGTGCTATTAATAAAGGGAAAAGTTATGCATTCAATTACTTTTATTTGCTTCAGACTCATGTTAAATATATACAATGCTAATTATGTACAAAAGTGTGCATGTTAAAAATTTTCAGGTTACAAACTTGCAAATCCTAGAAAAGTGCAAAATTTTAAAACATCTTCCACCATGCTGTACAGGAAAAAAATCCATCATTAGCCAATATACACACTCTCATATTGATCAAAACAAAGTAAGACATACAGTATACTCTTAAAGCACCCAGAGGGAAAAATATATTGCACAGAAGACAGACAGCAAGTTAATTACAGTGCCTGAAGGCTCATTTCTAAAAGTAGCTATTTCCAACACTCCTCAGACCTAACATTTATCTCTTTAAAAAGGCATTTTTTGGCATTTAAAGATCCATTGGTAATCATATAATTGCACAATCTGTAAGAATTATCAGAAGATATGGTTAACTGTTGCTGTAAGGTCTTTGCTTCCACCCCCTGATTGGTGTCAGTAAAAATTAATCAGGCAAATGGCATCACAACTTCCATCAAAACACTGACCAAAGGGAGGCAAGTCTCACATGCAGCATTTCTCTAATCTCATACTAAGTTGCTCCTGCAAAATCAGAATATGTATTGCAAGTTTTTCTTTAATTCCTCTTTCCCCTCACGGCTTTCTTTAAGACACAGCTTACAGCTGTGTATGACTAAAGTAGTATTGTCAGGTGCAAGACTTAAGTTTATTTTAAAGCTATTTCAAGGCAAAAGATATGGCTCCCTTGAGAGGAAAATACTGACTAGATAGGAAGCTAAATAAACAAGTGGCCTCCAAGTTCAGTTAGATCTATGATATATATGGCTGGATGTTTTGTATTCCAATCTCAAAACACCTTAGCAGCTTTAAACCATAATCTATATTGACAATCGTGTTTCTGGGACAGAAGATGTGTGATGAAATTGTGTCTGTGTTGAGTATAAGCACAGACCTAAACTCTGGAAATACCTGCCAAATTTCTCAAGTCCAGTGGACAAAACTAGGAAGAACACACACTGAAGGAATTCTATTGAAAACAAGTGAAACACCTATTTTATTTGGGCTACTTAGGTAAATGGTAACTAAAAGAAAAACACACCAGTCTTCTTCCACAGATGCACAGCAAAAAGGGGAGTTAAAACTGAGTAAAGGCTACCTTGGACTAAACACTGCAGGCGGTTCCTCCCATATGGGGTGGTCAAGACTGCAGTGAGGTGAATGGCACTTAACTGAAATGCAGAGCATGCTATGGTGCCATTCAGAGGCATTTTTACATTCAGGCACCTGGTATCTGTAACACTGAAGAAGGGTACGATAGCATTTTACCAATTTTAATTTTTTTTTTTTAATGCAGTAGCTTTTTAGAAAACCTCGTCCTTCAAAACTATGTGCTTACAAGGGCAGTTTAGTAATAATAAGATTGGCTCCTTTTAATGGAAGACATCTTCCAAACCCTTCAGTTGACTCTACATTGGCATACAATGAACCCACATGTATATGATACCATGGAAACTTATTCTCCCCAAAAGGAGACTACCAACAAGTGTCATATTTGCAGCCGAAACCAACACAGCTTATAAGCCAGAAAGCACAAAAATACCTAGAAAGCACTGAAGCACATACTTGAATTTCCATTCAAATAAATATAACCCTATGTAGTGCTTTCACATAACAGTATTTATTAGATCAGGCCCTAGGCTCACATTACGATACGCATTTATATGCGCACGTTTCTTTTTTTTTAATTCCTTGAAAGGGAAAAAAATATTCACAGCACCTCAGCTCAGCATTTAACATAGTCACCAAGGTGCCTTTAGCAGTGGAAGACAGGAATGTTTCAGGTGACAATACAGAGCACGTGTCTACAGAGACTCTCAATATAGGAGCAGAAGGAGGTCAACTCTCTTCACCCCTTCAGCTCTAAAGCTCCCTACCATCCTATAATCTGTATATAGATACACATTTTCAACTAAATACATGTACATAGTAAAATCTTTGTGCAGCATTTGGTTCCTTTGCTTATCTTTTCTAATGATTTTGTTAATTAAGATTGGGAAAGGTTTGCAAAGGAAACGGAGGAGGAAGACATGGTTTAGGGAAGTGAGGTATACAGCTCCCATTGACTAAAGCAGGAGTTAAAAGACCTACCTGATCTGTGCATTACAAAAATAAATTTATCATTCCTGCAGGATCATTTTAAAGCAGACTGATTTTACCAGTCCCATATATAATTTTTCCAGTGCAGAAACTTAGTTCTTTGCACTCATTTAAAGGACGAAGAAATACAACTTTCAAGGGGATCCTTTTAAGACAACCAATTAACTTAGCCATTTAAAGCCTCTGAAGACCAATAAACCTGTTTTGTGATAATATGCATGATCTAAAGTATGCCAGAGGGGAAAATGCCTGTTTATATCAATGTTGCATATTAGCAAAACAATTATAATATGGATGTGGGCAAGTCTGGGTTTTCTTGGAGGGGAAGTTGTGGGGATTTAAGGTGGTTTGGTTTGCTAGTTTCAGTTTTTTCTTTTTTTTCTCTTTCCAATATCAAACAATTAATTATTTTCCTAAGACAACCCAATTTCCACAATGTGTATTAGCCATCAGGACAAATGCAGTTACTTTAGGACTGGGATTATTATGTTGTGCTGCTAAGGTACATGGGTAATAGAAGATGTGGCTTCTAGATATCCTATGAGTGAGTAATTGATACTGGAACACAAAAAATTGCCTAAGTCAAGTCAGATGCTAATTTGAAGATCACTTTCTGTATGTTTGTGTAGTTCAAACCCAGCAAAGACTAGATGGGTTTCTTAACTATAGCTAAAAACACAACTAAAAATATTATCAAGAATTGTAAGTAAATTGATTTAGAGGAATTTAACAGACATTTTATTTGAAATAAAGGAGACATGTCTTCTAAATATCCTTTGGTATGCAAGTTCAAAACTGTGCTACAAAGAAGTTAATACTGCTAACTACTTGATCTCATTTATATACAGGTATGAAAAGTAGGTCAGTTTTCAGCTTCTTTTATATATATATATATATATATACACACTCCTACTCATTCATCTTCAAAGGTAAGCATAGGTTAAACTTCAATAAATATTATTAGAGTTCTTCCAAAAATTAAACATATGAAGATATCACGAAGAAGATCTTGACAAATGTAATGCTGTGAAACAAATATCACTTAAGACTTGTTTACAGCTAAATGTTCTTAAATGTTCTAAATTTCTCATTGGAATCCTCTCATCTCAAAACTTTACTTTTTTACACCTGAACAAATCTTTGATCAAAACCAAAGGAGAATCTTATTTCACCAACACTACCTGAAAAACAAAATGGGATCCCAAGCTTTACTGACTTGAGAAAATCAAAGAATTACGAAAGTCAGTTCACCAATCCACAGTGCACTGTATAACAGGATGCAATTCAACTGACCTAAACAGCTAATCAGAAAAAATATTTTCTAATTTTAAACATTATTGTCTTCTTTTCATGGAAATAAGTTAAACCTAAAAGAAACAACATACCAGCAAATGCTCAGACTTACGACTCTTATTTAAAGCTGATTTTAAATAAAGGCAAAGTGCAGACCTTCAAAGCTATGGAGGTCCTTCCAGGACCATCTGGCAAGGATGCCAAGCATGTGATGGTGTACATCTCCCACCCCCAAGAACCAGATCTCAGATGCAAAGGCCATGGAAGTTGCCATTCTACCTGGGGCATAAAGCAGCTCAGAGCTCACCTGCGCCCTCCTCATTCTGCTGCTGCTGCTCTGCACTGAGCACAGACTAGTCTTGAGTTTGAGAGCCCAAGAACTGTCCACATTTAAGCCTATCCCAGGTATTTGCGATGATCACCCAGTGCTTGTGATGCACTGAAATTATGCTATTCAAATGTCAAAGGTCTTAATCATAAACTGTTTCAATTTTTGCAACATTATATTTTACCTTAACTGACACACGGTATTCAGTATTCTTTAATATTCAACTACTAAAAATATGAACTCAGCTGTTGTACAAAACGTACCTAACCCCCAACAGGTTCTCAAATGTGTATGCAAAGCCCTCTTTGCAAGTGAGAAGAAAACTGTGTTCCCACCAAGCACTACATAAGATTCGTCTCCCTTTTTCCATTTGATTCTCATAGCCTAAAACACGGTAATTTCTTTCCCCCTTCCCCTCCAAATAAACACTTAGCCTTGTCTATGCATTTAAACACAACATTTATGCAAACATATAAAACCCATCAATTCAATGCCCCAACTGAGTTTTTTCAGTCTCCCATAACACAGAAAGATCTCACATTCTGAGCTGAAATACCACTAAACTACTCTCCAAAGAGGTCCCCTGAAATCCCTTCTTCATGAAATCATAATGGACAAACATACTTCACATTCTCATGAACAAACTTAATACTTCCACAGTATCCTCAGTATTCTTAATAGATAGGCAGTTGACTAAAATATGTTGACTAAAAATAGTATTTCTCACTTCTCTAGAGCTTATTTGAAAATACAGGATATGGGTTAATTTATACTTTTTTACATACATGGAGTATGAAAAAACCCACACCACTTTACTTTTGGAAGTTGAATCCTCTCTTAGCAAGTGACTCAGGATAATAATTCTTTTTTTCTCCTAACTTTCCAGACAATCCAGTCTGTTCACAGTGATTAGGCAGAATATTGCAACTATGCATAGACCCACTTGTTCACTAATCT